CTCTCTCATATTTATATTTATGGATAATCGTGAAACATTTGTTGTTTAAGTATTTTGTTAATTATTTTATTCTTACGTAACATTTTTCTGCATTTGTTCCTCTTGTATACCGTACATTTTCCAACAGATAAACGGTACCAAAAACGAAAAGCGCTTTCACATCGCCGCCAAGTGATGTTCGGCAACGGCACTGAATTAGCTGCATTGCATCCAGGACACGTGTCGGACACGATGATGACGGAATTTAACCCCAATTATGAATTTGCTGGCAATCTTTACAGCTTCAAGGACTTGCCGCAAATACCCCGTGAATGCATTACTTTAGTGAAGTTAGTACGAACATATTATAGATCAAAACTAGTTAACATATCACTAGGCAGATTGAATTGGATTTTCTCAATTGAAGTGGAATTTCTCATGAAATTGGATCTGTCTGTAATTAGCATATCAGTTAGATATCTGACACTTTTACAACTTGTTCTCTCAACATTTTGTATATAAAAATCTTTAGATATCCCTCATTCTAGATTTTAAACGTAAAAAATAAAATTAGAACGCTCGATTATGTTTTTGACGCAGACCTCTCGGCCAAGGCGCCTTCGGCGAAGTTTTCCAGGGCGTGTACAAGTACGGACACGGCGAGGAACACCCCGTGGCCGTCAAGACGCTTCCGTCTTTATCCACTACTCAAGCGGAAGCTGACTTCATGATGGAGGCATTGATAATGAGTAAATTTAATCACCCTAATATAGTGCACTTTATTGGTGTCTCTTTCGATAAACATCCGAGGTACATCGTTCTGGAATTATTAGCCGGAGGTGACCTCAAAAATTTCCTACGCGAAGAACGGCCTCGATCAGTGAGTATTAACAACGTTATGCTATCAACTTAAAAGGAAAGTGAGAGTGAAATGCATAATACACATTACAGTTTAATTTTCATCTTACTTTAAAGCAACTGCCATTCACTCGAATATTTTTTTAGCTAATTTCTAGAACGCGTGTCATACATATTTTGAATTTTGCAGGATCGACCTACAGCGTTAACAATGCTAGACCTTATTATGTGCAGCTACGATGTCTCAAGCGGCTGTAAATATATGGAGGAGGCACGTTTTATACACCGTGATATCGCCGCTAGGAATTGTTTATTGACCACCAAAGCACCGGGCCGTACCGTTAAGATCGCGGATTTCGGTATGGCCAGAGACATTTATCGTAGCGATTATTATAGAAAGGGTGGCAAGGCGATGTTGCCTATAAAATGGATGCCACCCGAGAGCTTCTTGGACGGCATATTTACGACGAAGACCGACGTCTGGTGAGACTTTCGTATCTCGCTAAAATTGACATTCGAAACAATTTTCTTTTTCAAACATACTCGCGTCTTTTTGCACGTAATTTATTTTTATTAAAAATAAATAGTTTTATAGCACGAGTTGAAAAGAAAACTTTCTCATTAATACAAATTACATAAGAGGTAAAGTCCGTGACGTTCTTGCGATGAAATTTTTAGGGCCTTTGGCGTGCTCCTGTGGGAAATTATGTCATTTGGATATATGCCCTACACCGGATGTGCAAATCGCGAGGTCATGTCGATGGTAACATCCGGCGGCCGTCTCGAGAAACCCGCGGGATGCCCGGATCCTATATATGGAATCATGACGAAGTGCTGGCATCCACGCCCTGACGAGAGACCAAGTTTCTCAACGATTGCCGAAAGGATCGGCTATTGTTTACAGGTGAGAACGCAACGGAGATTTCGACTATTGATTTTTTTAATTCAATCGTATTTAATCTTATGTTACCTCGTTCATTGTTGCAATCAATTGTATTCTTGAATATTTTTATATAAAATCAATCTCGTCGTTTAATCTAAATATAATCTAAAACAGTATCTAAAACCTAATTTACAAATTGATATTCTTTCTCACAAAGGATCCTGATGTGATAAATCAACCCACGCCTAATTTCGACATATTGCCAATCTGCGATCGTGAAATAACAATCATGAGACCGGACCCGGAAGCGGAATGCATCAATGTGCAGTCTGATGTTGGTATAGTTATAAAACAAAGATAAACAACTTTCACCAATTCATAGAATTAGAACAATAATAATTTTTGCATCGTTTCTTAAGAAAAGTAAAATTGCTATTGGATTATACCTACATATTTTGTATATAATCGTATTTTATAACACACACACACACACACACACACACATGCGTCTAATAAAATAGCGATTTTTTGCTATGCTCTATAAAAAGACGGAATATATTTATATTTATACTGCATATGGTACAAAATGCTCCACTATTTTATTAGATGTGTGTAACGTTCATGTTCATGTCCCGAGCTACACGATAATGTAAAAAACGAAATCGAAAATGTCAGTAATCATCGACATTTTAATTCCGTCTAGACGACGGCACTTTCCCGTTAAGGATCGACCTTTGCCTTATAGTCCTTTTAAATTTGTCTGATAGTTGGATGGCTGCGGCTACATGCAACCGAGGGTCATTGATCCACGGTCCGTTGCACGTCGCGTAGATCAAGCTATGGGCGGCACCGACTACGATTCCGAGAATGAAAAATCGATCGAGGACTGCAAGGTGTACGGCGGGGCTTATGCGAAATCGATGGGATGTCGCCAAGGAAAATTCAATTACAATTCGTACGATTCCAGCATAGACGCTTTCGAGCAAGTTTATGGTGACAACGATCACGAGGAGGATCGTAACGACGAGGTGACCGCAGATTCCAAAGTATATACATATTTGAAAACTCTGGGAAATCGGTCACTTTAATTGCACTTAACCATTATTCTTAGTAGATCAATTAGCATCTTAATTAATGCTTTTTAATTATAGTTTCTTGTGTTAAATTTTTTTACATTAAAACCGCAATAACGTGGACAACGGAAACAATCGTCCGGAGAATAATTATACGACTGCCAGCCATCGGTGGCGCAATAAAGAACTGCAAAAACGACAATAAGAACACAATGACTACCAATACCAACATCGACTCTCTGATAGTGCAAGAATTCTTCTTCGTATTCAAATAAATTATATAATGGCTATTATAAAGTTAAAATAAACGCAGAACGTAAAAAATAATCCGACGTCAATAAGAGTCTGTGTAGTAACGAAAGGCCATTACATTTAAAACCATTTTAATGTTACATTATAGTTTATTATGTTACGATTTCAGTTACATTGTTACTAAGGTATGTTACCTGATCTCCGTAGGACAAGCGTAGGCCCGACCGGTTGGACCGGCAAGACGGCAAGACAATTTATCGAAGCAGCGACATCGAAGGCCGCAATAACATAGACAACGGCAACAACCGTCCAGAGGATGAGTGTCACATGACTGCCAACATTGATAGCGCGATAACGGATCGCAAGAACGGCAATGAGAGCACAACGACTACCGACACCAATTCCGACTCGCTGATAGCACAATCCTCGGATACTCCGCCCGACACGACGACGAACTCGTCGCCCAATACGCGCACCTGTTCGCCGAGTCGTACCATCGGCCTCAACGCTAACGTCAGTAATGTGAACGGCATGGTGAAGAAGAACACTCTGAAGGCGACCCTGAGCCTGGACCCGAGCGCGCTCTGCAGAGGCACCATCCCTTACGAGAAGATTACGACGCGAATGCAACGCTCGAGCACGCCGGGCAGTATGGAACTAAGGAAGGTAACTTGACCTCCCCCCTACATTCGGCGTCCTGCAAAGTTTCCATCTGTACATGACCGTGGTCCTTGATCGAAGGTACTTAACACTAAAACGCAATTTGTCCACCGACAAACTCGAACAGTTTGCACAATCAAGGGGTCTCCCATGAAACGGAGGGTAAACGTAGTCAATAAATATGGAAGCTTGTAAGTCTGCAATTTTGTACCAGGAGAAATAATACCGTGCACAGTGCGAGGAAAGGGAGTTTCGAAAAGTGAAAGGTGACCAATAGAATCGTGTATGTTCTGTACGTTTGTCGTACACACTTTTCACGGTGCAGACTCCTTGATTGCGAACTAACAAGACTTCTTTTTGAAATTGTAAACATTTTAGAAGACTTTCGGAACTACTGTTCATTGAAGCCTAGTAAAGTCTCAGTAAAGCCCTGTGTCCACGATGATAGAACTTGGTCCAAATTCGAGTTTCGAGAAATGTGTAGCCAATCAACTTGCAGCTATTCCATAAAAGCAGAACTAGAACTTGGTCCAAGTATCCAAGCTAGTATCGTGGACATAGATCTTAACAGTCCTAAAAGAAGCATTAATGATTATAGTTTCTCGAGGAGTAAACTGCTGGGGGCATTGCGGTGTACAGATTTGCGACATTACTAGGCATTTTTTGGGCATTAGTGGGTGTTGCTTGGCCTTGTTGGGGCGTTATAAAAAATCTGAAAAGATAAAACAAGATAAAATAAGATAAAGTAATGCCCACTGGGCGTTACTATCGAATTTTAATGCATTAGTGTATCGATGTATATGATTTTGGTCAGCGGTTTACCCCTCGTGGTTTCTCTTTCATTACTGTTGTACTCTTGTCCGATCTCGGTGCGATAATCCTCTTATCTCACGACTTGCTCACCTTTGCAATTAAGGACTCCCTGAATCACGAGCTGCCGAGGGAGGAAGAGTGCTCCTGCTGAGATTTATCTGAGGGGGGTTGACGAGGCTGCCCGGCCGCGCTCGGCTGCAACGTCGCTCGCCGATTGCAGCTGAAACGGTCGGCCACAACGACTGCGATCACGAGGAGGAACAGAAACACGCAGCTCGTAGAACTCTCCTCGCCTACGTGGGCCCAGGACAACGAATACTCGCGTCGCTATTACTCCGAGGAGACCCTCCTGTGAATTCGGGGATTCGGAGGGAAACCGCGAATTTCTCTCACGGGGACCAATGCTCGGTGCGCCTTTTTGGAACGTTGGTTCCCGCGAGAAGGGCGCGCGATTATCGATAAGTCGGAACAACAGAGAATTGCTACAAACGGATGTGTGCAAAACAGGCGAGTCGTGTACATACGAAGGGGGCGAAAGTTACCAAATACGTAACTCATGTATTCAATACGTTAAGTGTCACACAAAACACACACACTTATGCAAGGTGATCTCGTCGAGTAAGCTTCCTAATTCCATGACAGCAACAGGGGCAGGGATTTGTAAAATTATACTGAATCACTCGTTAACGTCGATCTTCGAGCGCGAATTGATCAGAGTGAGCAGCTCGTGAGGTTCAACGTTAAAAACGTGGATGTGTACTTGGAAATTGCAGATTGAGGAATGTTCTTTTATATATATGTATATATATATATTTGACATTTAAAAGTCTAAGGAATAGTCTTGTCTTCGACGCAAAGTAAACCCCTGGTCGGAGACAGTATGGCCGTGCTGTCCTATCTGTCTAAATGGTTCAAGGGTTCCACCGCGGGACTCGATACGGATGCAAAGGGTGTTATGGCTGTTGAGTAAAAATGTTACACTGTAATGTCGATGTAAAAATCTTCGTAGGCTGATCGATGAATGCGCGTTTTGGGAAACGGGCGGGGGGGAGGGAGGGTGGGAGGGAGGGAGGGGATAAAAAGAACACGGGCCCTTTTTTATTTTTCTTACAACGACGACGTACTTTACGTGCGCGTAGCGTATGAAAGTCAGCCACTATGTATCTGTACGTGAAACGTAATAAAGGCGTGTTTATGAAAGGTAGGGTGTTACTGCTGCGCCATAAGCTTCCCCTGGCAGCACAGTGCATTGGCTAAACATTGACCCAGTACAATCAAATATTGGGCCAATGTTTAACCAACGTTTGGTCAATACACTGTGCTACTAGGGTCCTCCCGGTGGTTGCAGTGAAGTCGTTTTATAAGAAACTATTTAAATTTCAGGCACTTGCAGAAGGGCGCTTCAGTTACAGCTTCTGCTGATAATCGCTTCTAGAAGAACGACAGTTTCGTAGCTTCGTGTTTATTAATTCCATCTCTTTAGATATCTCGCTTTGTGTAGCGTTCACATTTGAATCAACCGAAAGCGACTTGCGACCTGACGTCTAATTTATCGAAGAGCAAGTTGGCGTTATAGTTAGCTGTCTCTCCCTTCCTTTCAGTTTTGCACCGTCCGTTCCTTGGCGTGCCGACGCATTCCCCGTTTGCATCGCTGGCAACGAGACCTCCGCGCTGGACGCCGACATTGTCACATCTTGGAAAGCGTCATAGTTTTCTCAGTAACGTTGGCGGCGGCTATATATACGCGCGTGCATACGAGTACGCGGAGTAGATAAGCGTAAACGACGGGACGGCGTCAGGTCCGACGTGCATACGTGAACACGCAGCCGGGGAAAGAGGGCGACGATTCCGATTCCGCGGTCGCCGGATGACAATTTTGCGCATGGAACCCCGGCGTCACGCGTGCCTCCCGGTTCGTGTCTGTTCCCGCGACCCCCGTGACCCGGAATGATGTCGAGTTACTCGTACTACTACGTGAAAACCATCGTCGAGGACGGTCGGCCGCCGAAAACGTATAAATTCGCGAAGGGGTAAGCCGCACGTCACTTTCATCCCTGCGACAAGTTTTAATCGCTCGATCTTGTGAGGCGAGATGAGACCAATCACGTGCGAAACATCAGCGCGGGGCGTCCATCACGTGCTTCGCGCGATCTTTCAGTTTTAGAAATGTTCCTTGTAAGATGTGGCGCAAAAATTGATACGCTCTCGTAGACTGTGACACTTCGGTGGCAAAGATTGTTCAGGTCTGCAAAGAGTTAAATTTCTTTTATACGTCGGCCCTTTTTCTGTCACCCAGAAAGGAAAAGGGTCAACATGTAGTTAGTCGGAACTACATGTGGAACTCAATTGACTCTGTAAATGTAACAATCACCAAGATGGTAATGTACAATGTTTAAAGTTAAAAGGAAAACAAAAATTGACTAAATTAAAATTTTTTTACTATATTAAATTTCTTTTATACGTCGGCCCTTTTTCTTTCACCCAGAAAGGAAAAGGGTCAACATGTAGTTAGTTGGAACTACATGCGGAACTCAATTGACTCTGTAAATGTAACAATCACCAAGATGGTAACGTACGACGTTTAAAGTTAAAAGGGAAACAAAATTGACTAAATTAAATTTTTTTATTATATTAAATTTCTTTTATATGTCAGTCCTTTTTCTTTCACCCAGAAAGGAAAAGGATCGATATGCAGTTAGCCGGAAGTCGGAACGTCATCTTGGAGATTGTTAAATTTACAGAGTCAATAGGGACGGTACTCGTAAAAATGTATTTAAAAAACAGCTTAATATAAATTTAACGAAGCTAACAAAAATACTCGAAGGCGAATCTTTAAATAACTCGTAAAAAAATTCACTTTGTCTCTTTGTATATTTAGCAATCACGCTTAAATTAATTTACATCGACTTTCCTGTCCTACATTGATGTTTAATATATCGAGGAGCAGACCTCTCGCTCGCCCTCCTTTTCCTCCATTCAGCGTCAGTTTCGTCTTCGGGGCCACTTTTTGCGCGCACTTTACGCCAGAGGGAAAATAAACAAATTTTTGCTTAGATATCCTGTGCAAGCGACGAGGGACGCATGGTCGACGGTAGGTCGCTATAATCTTCTGTCGCGTTTGCTACGAGGAGGGCTCTCCGGCTCCGGCGACGTGCACCATCCTGCCAACAGCACCTTCAAGGTTTGCCATCACGCGCTCTTAGCTCCGCTATATACTAGAGCCAGTATTCATAGTCGGATCTTATATTCAAGACCGTCTTGAATTTATCTAAAGATGTTGTATGGGCCATTTCATTGGCTACAGAGTATCTAAAGATGATCACAAAACAGTTTTGAATATAAGATCTGACTGTAAATACCGGCCCTAGGAATCACTGATGCCTTCCCATATGAATTTAGGCACATGCAGAACACATACACGTTTTCCATGTGCAGATAACTGTAACTAGTTACAGTTTTAGCAAAAAACCTGTAACTGTAACCAGATACTTTTATAAAGTAACGTAAAGAATTATTTAACGCCAGTACATGATTAACCAATGTAGAAAATTGCTAGACGACGCTTGGCTGGCAAATTCTAATTAAAGAAATTCATTGCGAAAAATATTATCTCAGCCAGGGTTTAAACCTGGGCCTCCCTGCACTCTAGATCGACCTCGGTGGTCGAATTGGTGAGACGCCCGCCTAGAGGTTCAAACCCTGGGTAATATTTTTCGCAATGAATTTCTTTAATTAGAATTTGCCAGCCAAGCGTCGTCTAGCAATTTTCTACACTTTTATAAAGTAATTTTCCCAACCCTGGCAAAATGTATAAATGTGCACATATCATGGAATCACCGATGCCTTTCCACATGAATTTGCGCACACATCAACACATTTATACATGTTGCATATACATACATGAAAAATGCATATGTGTTCGACATGTGCCTAAATTCACATGGGAAGGCATCAGTGATTCCTAGCGTACACTATTGCTTGTTAATCCTTCGAAGCGACGTACTTCTCGCAGCGGAGGTAAACTCAACGCGTAACTTTCAATCGTTAATATTTGCCTCGATGAATCCACGCTCACGAGCGTAATCTCCGAAACGTGATCCGCTGTTCAAACGGGGAGATTTATTTCAAGTTTTCGGGCACTCTGTCTGAAAGCGTGCTTTCTTCCCCCTTGATTCCTCGACGTTCTCTGGCGGTGGACATTCCGCGCCAGCCAAACGCGTATAACGATCAAAACTCGATCGCGCGTCCTCGCGCTGTGAAGATTTTTTTCGGATGTACCCCTGGCGAATCGCCAGATTCACTGTTAAATGTAAAACACGAACCCTCTCGTACGCGCGAACTACGATGCGTATCGTCGACATATTTTTAGGCCCGCAACATCCGACACTCTGCTCGCGTCTCCGCGACGTTTGCGGAGCTTTAATGTTTCGCGACTCTCTTCAAACTGCGATTCTTTAGGAGGAATTTTGCGAGGTCGCTTTTAAAGTTATTTCTTCCACACGGAGAGAACTTTGTTTTAAAATTTATCCTGAAAATTATGTAATCGTGGGACAACGCGGCATTTCGAAGAATTTTGTGAGATTTTCGAAAGTTTGCCATACATTTCGCTAGTAATTATACTTAGAATATATTTTACTAGTAAAATGTATGGTAAAATTAAAAAAAAACTCATAAAAGTCTTCAAAATGCCATCTTGTCCCACGATCGCATGATTTTCAGGATAAATTTTAAGAGAAAACTCTCTCCGTGTATAGCATTTCAATAAGCGATTAAATTTCGATGCTATAAAATAAGAAAAGGGTGAAGAAATTTTCTCATTAGCCGGTATTCATCAGTCGGATCTCATATTCAAGACCGTCTTGAATTTATCTAAAGATGCTGTACGGAACATTTCATTGGCTACGGAGTATCTAAAGATGATCTTGAGGCAATCACGAATATAAGATCTGACTGTGAATACTGCACCCTCAGAAAGGATTTCTGTTACTGAGACAAAAAATATTCTTGACGCATTTATACTTCTCACACTATAATTCTTGTTCTCCTCTATCGAATTAAAAAAAATTGACTTACTATATTGAGACAAGAGTAACTTATATAAGTTTATATATTCTTGCGTTTAGAATAAATTTTCCCTCCATCTTACAACGCACGAAGTTGGCACCACGATATTCGACAAAAGACGATACATACTATCATTTTATTCTAGATTTTACAATTTTTTATTCAAGATATTCCTTTCTCTATGTAATAAATATGATTGGCACTATATAGATCCTATTTCATGATACATTGAAGTATAATAGCGTTGGATCTGGAATTTTTTTCTGTAGGTGTGGCCTTAATCTTCGAAGTACATCTTCGAAAGCTGTGTAATTGTCAAAGTTTTATTGACTACTTCAGGAATGTTCTAAATTCAATTTTGAACTTTAGTAAAAGTTAGGGCACGTGAAAATTATGGTAAACAGCTGCGAAAAAATCTCGTGGAAGAAGCGCCGTGAATGGAATTAAATTATATGTAAATAATAAAAGCACTTGTAATAACGAGCCTTAATATCTAAAGCTTCAGACTAGAAAGACGAATTGTCTAGCTTAGAAAAATAATCTCTGTCAGTTTCGTTTACATTTGTTTGTCGTTTACGTCGATATATTTTCGTTGTTTGTAAAACAGTGATTCACGTATGATTTCATGCCAGAGTAACTTTTATCTAAAGCCAAAGATTGTTCATTCCCGACCTCCACTGTCAACGAAACACGCGTGATGTGAGTTAAGTCGTTAATACCCAACTTGCTTTGCTCTTCGCGCCGATAACAATTGGTTTACAAAACGATTACGAAGACGCAGAAAATATCGTTGATCTGACGCGGCGTGTAGAAAAAGTGTTCTGAGCTGTTCTCATAATATAATGATTCATAGCTTCTTCAAAACTCCGAAAATAACTTGTGCGATTAGTCGGCCGAAAACGTGCTTCGTGGCCTCGGCTTGAAACTCGCTCGATCTTATGAGCTCCGAAACACATCATCAAAACGAAAGCTTTATCCACTGCCAAACTCCCAAGTTAATTCCTGCATCTTGAAAACTAAGAGAAATAAGGATAAGGTATCAATTTTTCTCAAACACATTGAAATAAATTACTTTAAAAACACGGAAAGAAAAATGCAGCTACCGTAGCTGAAAACTACACGTGGCAACGAAATCTCAGTTGTAAAATACAGCTAATTTCAATAAGTAAGTTTTAGTCGACCTTAACTGGCACGTGTTTAATAAAAGAAAACTACAAAGCGACGTTTCGACCAAGGGTTTAGGTCCTTTTCAAGCAAGTTCTAAAATGAACAACCGATAAGCTAATATTCCGTTGCGATAGCTAAATATTTTGCTACTGTGCCTATTGCATTAGACGCGACGGCAAACCGTTTGCGGTGCTTTAGAAATTTATAGTTGTGGCAGCAAAATATTTTTAGCGAACCATGATTATCTACGGTAGCGAAAACTGTTTTCCCAGCGAAATATTTGCAGGAGCAACAAATACGCGCGTGATAAAGTTCTATTCCGACACATCTACACGTGATAAATTGATACGATAAAATGTGATAAAAAAATTGATACGACCTTTCATCTATAACAGAAAAACGTCATATGCAAAATTACACGAAGTACACGGAGGTGGTGGAGAACCGGTTCGCGAATTGAACTTTCTTTTTCGGCAATGCACGGCAATCCCCTATAAGGAGAAAAGCGGTTCAGTGCGGTGCACGTGTTGCGGGCAGCGGCAACCCGCACATCGGCGCCGCGTTGGCGACACAGCTCGGGCGGAGGGAAGGGACAGTTGGTTCCGAAACGGAGCGAATCCCACCGGATATGCCAGCCAGTGTACCACGTACCATCGCCCGCGTCCATTTCGGCGCGACCACGTGTGCCGCGGAATCGGTATCATCTGGTGCCCGTCATCAGCAGCCAGGTTTTGCGCCCCAAATCCGCACGAAGTAAACGGCTCCGCGTATTTCGCGAACGGCAATTCGCGAAGCGTTAACGACGCTGGGTCTCGGTTACACAGAGAGGGTCTATTGCAAGGACAACGATAGGCTGCGAATAAATTACACACAATTGAAAATATAATTGGGCGGTGGAACTTTCCCAGAGATTAAAATTCGCAAAAAACGAACGTTTTGTCTGCAGTTATTCTAATATCTTGTCTAGTCATTGTTATATTTGTTACAAGCTCCATTATTGGTGGAAAAAAACCCGCAATATTGCCCAACGTGTAATGTAACTTTGCGTTGCAAAGTAGCGGCAATAATTAGTCGGATAACTGTGCAAATTAGATAATGGAAACTAATGAGTTAACAATATTTTCAGTTCTCATCGGCATTGTGCACGATCGTTTTATTTGTTGCGATATAAGTTATCCGGTTAAACGCTCCTATTCGCCAATTTAACGGCGACACTGCGTAATTGTTAAATTGCCCGGTAGATCGTATCTAGATCAACGATCGCGCGAGAGATAAAGTTCATCTTTAATGTGACACAGTGACCGTGACACGTGTTTTGCACCGAGGGTGCGCCCTCGGATCGATAAAACGTTCGGGACGGTGCCACAATTTTAATAGCGTTGAAAAAGGGCGCAGCCTTTCAGATTGTCGCGCGAAATAAGGAAATAATACTGTTACATTTGTCGTACGACAAGTTTTTCAAGCGCGTTGATTGGCTGCAAGCTAGAAACTTTCTAGATACTCGAGAACTTTTCTACCCTGCAGCCAATCAACGTACGCTTGAAAAATTTGCCGTACGGTGTATTTTACTAGTAAAATGTACACTAAGTATAATTGTTAGTGAAATGTATGGTAAGCTTTCAAAAAAAAAACTCTCATAAAGCTCCTCAAAGTGCCGCGTTGTCTCACGATCGCATGGTTTTCAGGATAAATTTTACTAGTTAAATATACACCAATTGCAAGTACAGTTACTAGTAAAATGTATGGTGAAATTTCATAAAACTCCCATAAAATTCTTGGGAATGCCGGGATGAATTTTAAAAGAAAATTCTCCCCGTGTAGGGATCACCGTAAAGCTGTTACTTCAGATACCCTCTGTTTTATGTCAGGATACGTGGGGCTAGAATTCCTTGGATACGAAATCGTGTTCTGCAACTTCGCGTTTCGACAATTCTTTCTCTCCCTCTCTCTCTCTCTCTCCTTGTATACTTCCCGGTAAATTTATTTATCTCGCAATAACGTATAATGACGTTTGCGTGTCTGCAGACACCGAACGTCTCCTTTGTAGTGGCTTTCCGATCATCGAGTGACGTCAGACGTCAACAATCATCACAGGTGCCGCGTTGCGACCGCCGGTTGGCAGTAAAAGCCCGAAACGGTAACATAAATACGTGTAGGTGTACAAACATATGTACGCGATTGCGATACACCGGCGACGCACATTATTTGCAACAATAATCGCCGCCGCGATAGCGCAGCGCTGTGTCGTAACCCGACGATTCTGACTCCGCGCCAATTAAGTCGACCGTGACGTGGACAGAGAGTTGGTTTCCGCGAAACGCGACAGATCCAATTTCCTTGAGGTGCTCGTAAAAGCTGATAAAGGCACGGGCCGGATACGCGGGTGGACTAGCGCCGAGCCGCGGGTGATATCGCGCCGCGGCGATCCCGGATTCTCCGTTATTTGTGTTTACAAATTGGCGAAATTGCGTGTGTCGGTTTTGTAATTGCGTGCGATTACAGACAATTGTCGGGGCGGACGATTGTCGGCACGCAAAAGTCGCGAGTAACGATATAAATCGCCGATAGGCGGAACTCGCTTTAACAATAAGACTCGAGCGCCTCGGTCGACGTGACACCCGGTTCTCGGACGGAACTGTCTGGCAATCGTCCCGAAAATCCATCAGTAGTGCATTCTAGGCATGGCATCTGGCGTGAGTTAAACATCCGACAGAATATCCCTTTGATAGCGCAATTAAAGTTTACCGCATCGGCCCGGGCAGATATAGCGGGTGGAGAGAATTCTAGACGCAAGTTTGCGAGGCATCGAGAATCGATTGGTACATACACTAGTCATTTATGACTCGCGACTTTGCTTTCGAGAAATATTGAGAGTCTTTCCTTCGCCAGTGAATATTGTTAACGCAAAGGTAACGGATAATTGTTCGACGTATCGGGCGATATTTTATTTAAGAACAATAAAAACGCACGAAGAAGCAACACATCTCTTTCAAGAAATTGCAGACGCGAGACGTGCAACTGAAGTCTAGTTCTACGAATTCAATTGTATCAGTGATTTTTATCTGGTACCAGATATGGTCGATAAAAATCACTGATATATTGTTAATTACTGCTGGCGACTTTTAAGAATATTCTTACTAGTGAATTCAATTATCTTTCAAATTCTTATTCCGCAGATGTTGATCAGTATTGATTACTTCAGCGATCAATTAGTGGCTTGGAATATTATAAAAGCTCTAGCAAATTAACGTGACAATATTAAACCCAACGGCACACGATTCTATTTTTCCTACTGGATTCCTTACGAGAGCCAATCAGGACTCAGTTTTCAGTCACCTGATCGAAAACTCTGCATCTTGATTGGCTCTCGTGAGTAATCCAGTAGGAAAAGTAGTACAGTGTGCCGTTTGAACACGTATTTAACACAAAGTTAAATGCAAAAATTGACTATAAATAGGCCTTAGAGCGCACTGAGTGCGCATTGGTGCGAGCAATTGAATTCGCTATAAAAGTGAGTAGCCTTTTCTTTCTCTAAAGTCTCCCCTTAAAAAGAGACAAAGCCGCTCACTCTTAGCATTTTTACTATGTTGCAAGATACAGAATTGACCCCCTGATCTGAAACTGTGCGTTCTCATTAGCTCTCGTAAGCAATCCAGTAGGAAAAATAGTATAGTGTGTCGTTGGCTTTACTCAGGCCTGGCTCCCCCCCCCCCCTCTCTCTTCAAGGTCGTTTATCTTTGCTCTCGGTTTAACACATCCTTTGTCTCCTATTCCCCTAGACGGAGACAAAGAACGAGTTGGGCTAAAGTTAAGGTTAAGCGACGTTAGAGAAATCGTGGCCTTTACAGAACATACATAAATACACAATAAAACGAGATCGGTTAACAAAGGTGACTTTTCAACGCTCCGCGTAGGACCCTGTCCGGAATTGGTATACAACGCAGTCGTTTAGATCGTGCTCGCGCGCATCAATGACGATTGAACCTCCCACGGTCGTAACTCGCGCGACCTTGATAAGAGAATCGGCGTTATCGCGACGCTGACAGTGGCGCCGCGAAAAAAGCGAGGCTAATCAGCGAGTACAAAGATCCGCCTTGGCGATCCCGTCGATAAGACGCGGCGTCGCCCAAGTCCCGCTAGTCCGTAGACCTCGTCGGGATTAAGAATTGTGCGCGAAGATGAACTCTTACGGATGGAGCAGGGAGATACGCGAGCCAGAGTTCGTCCGGCAAGAAACGAAGAAGATAGAGGTGAGTGCCTTACAGTTTCGAGAGTCGTGAAACGATCTGTACCGGCGGAGTGGCTAATTAACGCGCGATCGGGCGCGACCTTGCTAATTGGCGCGGCCTCTCGCCGGGAATCCCGTGTCCGCCGTTTTGAATCGCGCGCACGCCGGACCGCGGCGTTCAAAATGGCGCGGCGGGCGCCGCCATTGGCCGGGTCTAAGAACGACGGCCAATCGCGCCCGGTAGCCGCCGCTGGAAGGCGATCGCGTGCGTTGTCAAGGCTCAAGGTCGTTTCCGAGAGTCGTATGCACCTGGCGCGCGGCGAGAGAGGCGAGGCGGAAAAGGCCCACGGGCGAGGGTTAGGCTCGTGGCCGAGCCCGGCGCGTAGAATCAGGTTATAACGGTTTCAACGTGCACGTCGGAGCGGCGAGTCGGAGCATCTTCTCGCGCTCCGTGATCCGTGCCGGTTAGTACGTGGTTGACGGACGACACGGGGACGACGTCGGGCAAGTTGCAGCTGGCGAGTTCCGTCGCAGGGACGATTGACCCTTTCCGAGCTAATTCGGGCCCGGGCGTAGCCGTGAAAGAAGGCGAGAGGAAGCGATGAGCTACTACGGCGGTTACGGCGACGGAGGTGGCGCCGAGGAGGATGCGTTCGTTAAGACGGCGGTCGAGATCAAGCGATTCTTACCGTCGCTCTTCAACATCAAAGTGGTACGCTTACTTGTCTCGGAGGCGAAAGGGCCGGCAGCCGATGAGTCATGAAGCTCGCGCGCACGAACCCGGAATGCTCGGTTATCCGATATCCCGATAGATAAATCTCGAATTTTTCTCAGAACCAACCATCTACCTCGTCGGGACGAGTGCTGATCGGGACGAATGTTCCATTGAAATATTCCGCCCACAATTTCATTGTCGTTCGCCTCTTTGTTTTCCCCGAGTTGTCAATTAAAATAGACTTTAATTGGACAGCAGTTATTAAATTACTATTTACAGTTGAAAATTGTAATTAAACATAATTTAATTATAATTTTCGATCATTACGTTGTAACTAAAACTTGCAATTAATGTTAATTAAAATTAAAAGTAATTGAATATAATTTAAATTTGCGATTGCAAGGTAAAGTGTCCGGAGGCACAGTCGTTCGATAATAGTGAAGCTAACAGGAATCTAAGTATAAATAAGAGTACGTAATTAATTAAGTCACTTCAACAAATTCGATATTAATTAGAGCACTTCATTTCATCCCAATTATTCGTACATAGAACGTCTTAAAACTACCGTATTCTATTGAGCACTTAATGAGTGGTTTCTTTTTTGCAGAAGCATGACTAAACATTCTCACAAAATCATGTAACATGTGCACAGCGTATTGGAATAAAAGATCGTAACATGGAGAAAATCGCACGACTGATCAATTCCTCTCTCTCTCTCATTCGACGCCTCTTCTCCCGTTTTCCCGCATCCCGAAAATATTTCGCAGACTGACATCGCAAGCCCGCGTTAATCTGAACGGGATGGCCATCGGGTCTTTCGTAAAATGTGGATACTAAAACTTACCGATTCAACATCATAATTACTTCTTTTGCAACACACGCATGCAAGGTGTACCAGCGACACCGACGGTGATGGCAATAACGATGACGGCATTGTACGAGAAATGTGTAATTGATACAATGCCATTCCTCGCATGATATTCATTCGGTAGAACGAATTCATTCAATAGAATGATGTGCGTCACAGCATGTGTCAATGCGACGGCATCCGTGAATGCTTTTACAAAAGCATGCAAATTATTCGAGTTTCAGCGAGGAGACTTTCAAAATTGAATTCGCGAACTGGAAAATTTGAAAAAACAAAACGGAGCTTGAGTGATAATGATTGCAAGTAATTATTGAACAGGTAAATTACATATATTACGTTCTCGTAGACAAATTGCGTAATAAATGATTGTCCAGAATAATTTCGTTGCTTCTTTGCTTGTAATCGTTCGTCATTTGTAGCTCGAAGTGTGATCGGTCCACTTTGTCACCATCGAGACACTTTATTCAAACCCTATGGCTCTTGATAATATTTTGCACATCAATTTATGATGCAATGCACATTTATAAAAGTATTGCCGATATATCGCATCAAATCGGAAACAGTCTAAATAAAGATCAGGACGTTTTCCTCTTCGCGATGCTGAATTTGCAAAGGTCAATCAGAAATTTATGCGCTTGCATTTCGTTTCACGAGTGCTCACCGTCGCAGATGTGGCTCGATCGCCTTCGATGCTCTTGGGGAAACAATTAAGAAAACGACTGTGATACAGATTAACGAGATGAAAAGGTACTTCGACACAGACATTCATCGGATAGTCGCTCATTCTGGAACACACAAAAACGCACTTCACATACTATACTCCTATCTCTTCAAGTACGCGCAGCTGTTCACGTACGCTTATCAAGCAATATCACAATCTAAATTGCGGTCAGTTGTCTTCCGGTGCAGTTATCGCTCTCTTGTTTCCCTGGAAGATTACCGTTCGAAATTCCAAGTTCGGACGGAGCTTTTCCGTCGAATAGTTTCGCTTCTCGTTCCGCATCGGTCGCGTGCTTCCGAGGAGACTTTCGTTTTATTCAAGTGACGACTCGGCAACGCATTTTTCCACGAAGTGGCAAGAGTAAACGCGCGCGTCACCTCGGCGCTTCACCGGGATGGATCCTCGACGTAGCAAATACGCTAATTATCGCTACTCCAATTACATGCAAGAGGGTGTCGCGTTTCTGAAAGTTGAGTCCAGTCTGTCCGGTGCCGAGGCCGCGGAATTCGCGAGCGATAAGATAATCGGCAGGAACAATAACGTCCTTTACTCGGCCGGACGCGAGCGAGCTCCCAAAAATTCGGCAGTGGGCTCGACGAGCAGGCCTCACGGCGAAAATTCCACAACGTGGGAACGTGAAAAACCGTTCGACGATAAAGCGATACGAACGACGAAAAATTACATCGGAAAGTCCTGCTATAACGTAGGCCGTTCCTTGAAAATCCTTAGATATTTACGCGCTTTGCAGTTCGCTTCACGAACGCCCGATTTTGCTAGTCTGAGTTGGTTCGATCGCGCTTTTGAATTCTTAGGAAACAATTAAGAAAATGACTGTAGTACAGATTAATGAGATGAAAGTATACACGGAAAGAATTTACCCTGAAAATCATGTAATTGTCGGACAACATTTTGGCATTTTGAAGAACTGCATGAGAGTTTTCTGAAATTTCACCATACATTCTACTAGCAATTATACTTAGTAATATAATTATTTATTTAACTTCATGCCAAGAAGTGGACTTGGTTTACAAACGGCGCCTTAACTCTCATACACGGAGAGAATTTTCCTCATGTAATCGTGGGACAACATGGCATTTTTAAGAATTTTATAAGAGTTTTTGAAAATTTTACACATTTTACTAGTAAAACGTATGGTAAAATTTTCAAAAGCTTCCATGAAGTCCTTTAAAATGCCATGTTGTCCTGCGATTACATGATTCTCAGGGTAAATTTTAAGAGAAAATTCTCTCCGTGTATTTGCACATTCGCTTTATAGCTATCTCATCTTGGGTAACGCCAGTTTTTACCCCGTACACTTTCTATTAACATTTTACTCCTAATTAATCTACTATTTATATTCTATTTACATTTACAATTCCGTATTTAGATGTTTCTGTCTGTTAACAATTATACTCACAAATATATTTTACTAGTAGAACATATGGTAAAATTTAAAAAATTCATAAAATTCTTCGAAATTTCACCTTGTCCGACGATTACATGATTTGTAGGACAAATTTTGAGAAAAAATTTTCTCCGTATACTTCGACATGGACACTTATTGGAAGAGAAAAGAAAATTCTTTGTCTTTTCTTTTCTCTTTTGTTGTTTAAGTCAATTCGCATTCGCGATCTGACGCACAAACCGATGTTCGCAGTTAGGGGAGAAGGGGTCCGGCTTGAGGCCACGGGGTGAGGTCCAGGATTTCAACACGCTGAGACGAGAATGCCTGGCGACGGGAAGGCTCTTCGAGGATCCCGAATTTCCAGCCAACGACTCGTCGCTGTACTTCTCCCGCAGACCGGACAGATACATAGAATGGAAGCGACCGATGGTCAGTAATCTCTTGAATTATCCCGAGTTTTACCAGCTTCGATTCGAGAATAATTTACAAATCGATCGCGCGAGGAGGATAGGCTCTTGACGACCTACAATGCGCTGTTCTTCGCAGGAAATCGCGGACAATCCTCAGCTCTTCGTGGAGGGTTTCTCGAGATTCGACGTTCAGCAGGGAGAGCTGGGAGACTGCTGGCTGCTGGCCGCCGTGGCGAATCTGACCATGCACCCGAATCTGTTCTTTCAAGTAATGCCAGAGGATCAAAGCTTCGAGGAAAATTACGCTGGAATCTTCCACTTCAGGTTCGCGACGCATCCAGTTTCCGCAAACAACGCTTTTCCGACAAAAAGCCAGCAATTTAACAAAAAAATTATATAATTTATTACTCTCATTGATTATCATATAACACGTAATGTCTATATATATATACGATTTACGAATATCTGCATTCGGAACTTTCGTTAATCACCGAGTATAATGTCACGAATATATTTAACTTCATCTGGATTCTACGACATTTGTACGACAAATATTTCTGTTAAATTACGAGATGCAGCCTGGAAAGAGCTCATTTACATAAGATATGTGCACGCGTCAGGTTTTGGCAGTACGGTAGATGGGTCGACGTGGTGATCGACGATCGATTGCCCACCAGTCGCGGAGAATTGGTATATCTGCACTCGGCCGAGAATAATGAATTCTGGAGCGCCCTTCTCGAGAAAGCGTACGCGAAACTTCACGGTTCCTACGAGGCGTTGAAGGGCGGCACGACCTGCGAGGCCATGGAAGACTTCACCGGTGGAGTAACGGAAATGTACCAAATGGACCAAACGCCGCCGAACTTGTTCAACATACTGTTAAAAGCCTTTGAGAGGAACTCGTTGCTGGGTTGCTCCATCGAGGTGAATTGACGATTACGATATCTGTTCTTTTCGCAGACTTGAGATTGTTAGACTCCGATCCCTTGCCCTTTTCAGCCCGATCCCAACATAGTGGAGGCTGAAACCCCTCAGGGATTGATACGCGGTCACGCGTACAGCATCACCCAAGTGAAGAACGTGGAGATTCATATGCCGAATCGGTACGGTACCATACCTCTATTGAGGCTTCGGAATCCTTGGGGAAACGAGGCGGAATGGAATGGGCCTTGGAGCGATCAGTGAGTACTCTCCCTCCGCGCTTCGACGATTACGCGTCCGAGTTCATGCTTTCGTCATCCGCCGACAGATCGCCGGAATGGAGATTCATCCCCGATCACGAGAAGGAGGAGCTCGGCCTGACCTTCGACATGGACGGCGAATTCTGGATGTCGTTTCAGGACTTCACCCGCCACTTCACTCAACTCGAGATATGCAATTTGAATCCGGACTCCCTAACGACGGACGATATTAGCGCCGGGAAAAAACGCTGGGAGATGAGCGTGTTTGAAGGAGAGTGGGTGCGCGGAGTGACAGCGGGCGGTTGCAGAAACTTTTTAGGTGGGATATGCAAATACTTATTGATCTGGCAACACTTCGTGGAGGCGTCCCAGTTAAACAAAAAATATATATCTCGCAGAGACCTTCTGCCATAATCCGCAGTATCGCATCACGTTGGAACATCCAGATGACGACGATGACAAGTGTACCGTGATCGCCGCTCTGATGCAGAAGAACAGGAGGGCGCAAAGAAGAATGGGTGCCGATTGCCTCACTATCGGATTTGCGATATACCATGTATGTGAAATTGATTGCGTTTTCAATAATGCAACACAGTCGAATCGTAATTTGATTTATCTGAAGATTCGAGTATTAATTTTTGTAAAAAATCAAATTATATCCTTTTACTACGTACATAGTTTGCGTACTGAAAAGTAGGCAATAAGTAAAGTCTAAAAACGAGGAATATATGAAGTTTTGAAGAATTAATGTTAGAAGAGAGAAAATCTAACAGAAACGAAATTTTCCATTAACAAGTTCACTTTTTATCAACAGTTGGAGTATCCAGAGAGGCTGCCGAAACCACTAGACATTAACTTTTTCAAGTACAACGCGTCTGTTGGACGTTCACCAGCATTTATAAACTTACGGGAGGTCACGTGTCGTTTCAAGTTACCCCCGGGTGTTTACTGCATAGTTCCGAGTACTTTCGACCCGAACGAGGAGGGTGAATTCTTGCTGAGAATCTTCTCTGAGAATCAGAATAATATGGAGTAAGTTCCGTCGCAATATGTGTGCTCTGTTGATACATGTATCACGATATGGGACAACTTTCATCCAAGTGTTTTCGTTTGTTTATAGAGAAAATGATGAAGAAGTCGGTATCGGAGACGTCGATGACAGGGTAAGGGTTTGTGAGATTTTGAATGAACAGGATATCTACGATAATAGATTAATCCTAAGCAATACGAATTGTTTTGCTTACTGCGATAACAAGTTGAGAGATGATCGCTATAAAACTCTTACTTAAATCATGTATTTCAAAGTTTATTCAATCTTCAAAATGGAATTTGGAAGGATAATTACGTAAAGTTATCAGACATTGGACTGTCAACTCGCACTATTGCTGTTTCGGGTTAATTATATTGTATTAATAAATATTTTATCTCATTTCACAACTTACAGGACACCCACTAATAATTCATCGACACAGCTTGACAAATACTTGCGTTAAACGAGTGTAATAGATTAGTAATGCATTAAATTGGTTTATGGTGAATTGCACTAAGATCGTAGAATCAACACTCTGCAATTGTGTCCAGCTAATGCCTGTAAAATCTGACATTTGTCATGTTGCTGTTTGATAATTGATTGTTAATCACGTTAAGATTCAGAATGTCGCTACTTGCCATGGTAACGGGTCACTAACAATCCGCACATTCATACCGCTTGGCTTTTAGATAATTAATCCCGCAGACGGTAAGGAGGACCAAAGCGGAGAAAACGTAAGTAAAACGCATGCTTGTACGTTGAAACTAAAGCTACGATATATGCTTTGTATGTATGTACGTGTGCAAGAAATAAAAGGAAAGGCTCTGAATTCAATTTCATACTAATACGACTGCCTTCATGAGGATCCGAAAATACATGTAGAACACAACAAAAATGAATACATAATGAATATACGTCACAGAAACTGACTAAATAAACTCGTTCGATATGAGCTACAGTCAACAAGAGGTAGAAACAATTTAAAGAGAAAATAGAATGTATTTATTACGCTCATATTTTGGACCCACTTGTGTTTTACAGGTCTTTTCGCGTCTTCGAGAGAACGCTACTATTATTTTTAATGACACGTACAGTGAATTTTACATATTTAAATATTAAAAAGTCCAAGTCTAAATATCTCAAATTATATTTTAATTTAAAAATAGCTGCGAAGCAAAATCGCTTCGTATAGAAATGCAGGATTTCCGGTCTTGTCACAGATTATGAGTCTTTATTACGGAAGATTTTTTTCTGTATGACTTTTAGGTTCGCGATGAACCTGAACAAGACCGCAATACCGAGAAAGTCCGAGAATTCTTCAAGAAACTCGCTGGCGATGATTTGGAAGTGGACTGGATGGAACTCAAGGATATCTTAGATTTCGCTATGAGGAAAGGTAAATGTTATTCTGCGCGCTGCTCACAAGATACATTTTCACATAAGAAGAAGTACGAAAAGAATATGTACAATTCTTAATATGATAATCCCCGAGAAAAACATGATCGTATTTTATTCTAATTATAAGAGCTTTGCTTCGTAGCTTTTTGTTACCTTTTTGCTTAATTTGCTCAATGTTTCTGCAATTATTGATAGAAGTATACATTTAATCACGCTTCATCATTACTCTCGTATCTCGGATATTTTATCACCTGCACCGTCTACTTTTAGCCTGATAATCGATTAATTACTACAAAATTTGCTCCTTCGGTTTCTCGTTAAAAATTACTTTATTCTTTCGGCACGCTGTACAGCATTTTGATGATCATGTTAATAATTCCGCATGCTTATCCCTTACCTTGTAATTTGTATCTACAATGCATAAATACATTTGGTCCAAGTGTTAATATCGTGAAAAATGTTTCTTGGTTTAATTAGACCGACTAAAACGCATTTAAAAAAAATTAAAAACAATTGAAATTACGCAATCTTTTAATAAACTAGCCCAAAGGGGTGTATATTAAATTTCTGTTAAAAGTGTATTTAAGAGAACCAGAGCTTATTAGAGTCTGTGTAAAAAGAAAAATGAATTGTAACGTAAGTCATAGACGTAATGAATATTGTGGATTCTTATGGCCCAAGTGTACGTATGTGAAACTCGAAACCTAACATGTAGCTGTGTGTTACGGGTAGAGTTACCGCAGTTGGCGCATCGTAGCGAGGCACATGCTCCCGAAACTGTCGAAGGAAATGGTTCGTTTATCGACACTCTCATCTCACTGCTGTGCGGCATTGTTTGTAATAATGAACAGTACAATAAGCCCGTAGGTAAGACAAACCTCTCCTACCGCAGGATCGTTTTACGTCGTGACGAATTATGTCACGGGACATTTGCTCGATCATTTAGTCTATTGTTAACACACGAAATACGCTTTCATCGGCACGCGTATGGTGAACTGATAGTGTCAATGTCAACCGCAGCTTGACGTTTCTAACTTGTGTCTCCGCAAGGTAGGATTATCCGGCGAAAAGTACCTACCAGCATGCTTTTCCAATTAACAGAATGAAACATTAATGAATCGCTTGATTCTGTCGACACACGTGTAAAGTCTGCGATGTATCATAATCGTTGAATTTGTCATCTCTCTACTGTATAATCGAGAGCCCATCTGTTTCGGTACATTGGTGAAATCTTTGAGACCGATATCTTTATATTTTTGTGTGGATTTTTATACGAATTTTCCGTAGTTGAATTTTAATGTTAGAGATTTCCTCTCACGTGAAAATTACGACGCGCAAAATGGATCTCTCTTTTAAATTGCAGAGACTCATGACAGAGGTTTCAGTAAAGATATATGTCGCAGTATGGTCGCTATGTTAGACGCAGATCATTCCGGCAAGCTCGGTTTTGAGGAGTTTAAGACCTTGTGGAATGACGTTAGAAAGTGGAAGGTACGTGCGAAATCTTTCGGCTTAATTTGCGACCCTTTCATCTTGTAAAATGTTTGCGGGCCTTTAGTAACGTTTGTGCTACATTTCAGGCTGTTTTCAAGCTCTACGACAGAGACGAGTCCGGGTATTTAAGTGCATTTGAATTAAGGCAAGCGTTAAACAGCGCGGGATACCGTTTGAACCATCACATTCTCAATATACTGGTTCATCGTTACGGCACTAAAGACGGCAAGATTACGTTTGACGATTACATAATGTGTGCGGTCAGGCTTAAAACAATGATCGGTAAGCGAAACTTGCACTTAATCTTCTCATTACTGATATATCAATTATCTGACCCACTATTTTATTGATATATTAACCCATACAGCATACATGTCTAAAAGTCTTCAAGATGTCTTTTAGACACACGTGTTGTTTGGTAATGTTTGCAAATTAATTATATTTTAATGTTAATAAGTATAAGACAAAACCAGTTATTACGTTGTTGTAGATATTTTTAACGAGAGAGATCCAGATAAAACCCACACGGCTACGTTCACACTGGAAGAATGGATGGAAAAGACACTCTATTCGTAATAAAACATAGATAAATTTATGTTCGCCACGATTCAATTCTATCTTGAACTCGAGAATCTCTCTGATGTATCAGAGTGTGATGATAAACGGCCGTAATGTGAATGAGAAGTATTTTTTTATAGGGAACGGCGAGAGAGAAAATATTTTTTAACTTGCGAGATAACATATATCATATGTACACGAAGCTTATTAACTTTTATTTCTTCGATGTTATTTAAAGCGCCTGTACGAATCTCCGCAGTATAAATTTTAAGGGGACGAGAAACAGGCGACGTTATATACATAACAATATATACACACAGAGATTTTGCCCGTAATAATTATGTTGATTGGAATATGTGAAAGAATATGGTATTGTGTGCCTTAACGTGCTTTAAGTGATTGCAGCATTATCTAAAATTTATTAAAAAAGCATACATGATTTGTCGGAACATGTAATGCGTGTGTCAACTAGTCCATAGATTAATGCAAGTTTTCAATTCGGATGTGAAACAACACTTCAATCTTATTAATTTTCACGGCCCCATTCATTTTACGAAGTCGACATAATTTAATTTAACTCAATCTACAGTTCGCTGCGCCACCTTGCAACTTAATCTAGGGCAATCTAGCTTCTTCCTTCCCTCGCTCCACCCCTATCGATGATATTGATCGTTGTCGATATCACAGCTATTGACATCGGGAATTTCTCGAATGTTGATACCCTGAAAATTGCAGGCGAACTCTGAAAAATTGTTGAGGAGGAAAGTGTGATGAAACATAGACGAAGAATGTACACTAGGCATCACTGATGCCTTCCCATATGAATTTAGGCACAGGGTAGAACACACATATTTTCCATGTATGTATATGCAAAATGTATAAATGTGTTGATGTGTGCACAAATTCATGCGAGAAGGCATCAGCGATTCCTAGGCCGGTATTCATAGTCAGATCTTATATTCAAGACCGTCTTAAGATTATCTTTAGATACTCCGTAGCCAATGAAATGTTCCATACAGCATCTTTAGATAAATTCAAGACGGTCTTGAACAGAAGATCCGACTATGAATACCGGCCCTAGTGTACATACGTGGATGTATACGGCCGAACGTTATAGAGTACGAATGTGAAATTATATTTTGTATCGATATTTAATTGCATCTAATGTACCGAATAAATCAAGTTCGTACTTAAACACCACGTTTTTATTATACACATTCGGCGCGTAGAAGCATATATATGAATTTATAATTTAGTTTAATTTTAAACTGGACAAATTTCCCGGCAATATATGATCACAGATTGCCATAGTTACACGGTTGTCCCGTGGGAATCTGCTGGAACTAATCAGCTGTCATTTTCGATTATGTGTAGCCATTGAAAAACAAAAGAGGAAAACTTGCAGTTTTTAATGAGCAATAACCATTTTGTAATTCTTTTCATGCACCGATTGTACTTGATCATGAAAATTTACTTCGACGATCATTTTTAATAACCGGCGATATTAGAATTACAGCCTTCATTGCGTTCCCTAACGAATTACAAGAATTTCCGCCTCGTTTACATGTATATTAATTTAATTTAACCCAGTCTACAGTTCGCCGAGCCACCTTGCGACTTATCCAGGGCAATCTAACTTCTTTCCCACCCTCCACCCCTATCGATGATGTTGATAATTGCCGACATTACAGCTATTGACATTGGGAATTTCCCGAAAATATGAATACTCTGGAAATTGCGGGCAAACTCTTCAAAAATCAACCGTTCGGGCTAGCGCGACGAGGTGAAAACGTGGGGCTTGAGAGCGCTGGCCGAATGAATTCCAGGGGTTCCCGAAAGGGAAAATCCCATTCAGCAGCCCCGGGGGGATGAAGGGGAGGGGGCTCGCGAGGGACACGGGAGAGCGTACGGCATCGCGGCGCTTGCGCGCCGCGCTTGTAAATAAAGCCCCGCGTCGCGTCGGGGAGCTCGCTCGCGAGTTAACTCGCGCGGCGATTGTTCTCGCTGTCTCGCGCGAGATTGCGGGTCGCGGCGAGATGCGGGATCGCGCGGAGCGGTCGGTATAAGAAGATTCGCCTTCGGACCGATGTTTTTTTGCGCCCGGCCGCGGTGCACGCGGATCGCAGGTCGCGGTGTGCCGTGCGCGACGGATTAGAGCCGAGGCCCTGGCCAGCTTCGATCGGGACGAAGGTCCGAGAGAACGTGCGCGATATTGTTATGCATTAGCGGCCCTCAGGGGGGGAGGAGGAGGGCCAGTTATCGCCGTGTTTCGCGGGCGCCGTCTCGACCCGGAGCGATCTCGTGCCGCGCCGACTGAGGCCACCGTGAAATCATGGTGTCCTCGTGGTGTTACTTCATACTCCCGGTGGTACTGTTCATCGGCCTGCTCCGCAAGTGCCGGGAGCGCGCCTGGGGTAGATGCCGGAGCGCCGGCGATCTGCAGGGCCGGGTGTTCCTCGTGACCGGCGCCAACTCCGGCATCGGCAAGGAGACGGCGAGGGAGCTGGCCAGGCGTAAGGCGACGGTCATCATGGCCTGCAGGAATGTGCAGAGAGCGAAGGACACGAGAGCGGAGATACGCAGCACGATATCCACTGGCGAATTGGTAAGGTCGATGGCAGAGAACGGCGCGTGAACGCCGTGGGTCGTCTCGGGCTCGATTTTTCTTCAACAACGTCGTTTAAAGTAACGACACGCAATTACGGCCGAGACAAGCTTTTCATTTAACGAGGTGTTAAAATTATTTTACCGAGGAGCGTATGCTCACATTTGGACTCTAGAATTGCGTAGGCGTTTCGGCACGCAGTGCTTTGCATCAGCGCATATAGCTTGAAATATACCTCGAATGTACATTAAATGATTACATAAATAATTAAATATATAAATAATGTTGATTGACAAAAGCGTATCCTAAATTTAGTCGGGACGTTGAAACGTAACGAGTCATAATAAGTAACTTACAGTGAATAAATAAATATATATATAATAATACTTCACAAAAATTTAGATCTTAAATCTAGTCGAGATTGTAAAATGTAAAGAGTCAAAAACCATAAGGGTAGCGTTGCTTAACTTTAAACTTGGCTCAATTCACCCTTCGCTTCTTTCCAACTGTTGCTCCAGACAGAGACACTTGAATTGAACTAAGATTAAAGTTAAGCGACGTCTGGTGAAACTGGCCCTTAGTCGTAGATGTAAGAGCCTGGGCAGAATGGCCGTTTTAAGTCTTCGTCTTGAAGTGTCGCGCAGTAACTGTAAGGCCCGGTCTACAATGGGTTGTTTAGTTCTCAGTCAGACGTCAGAACTGTATGTCGGTCCTTTTTCTTCCACCCGGAAAGGAAAAGAATCAGCATATAGTTGGGACTTCTGACTGACGACTAACAACTCATTGTAGACCGGGTCTAAGTGACTCGAGTGACACAAGACAATTATTGCGCGTTAGGGCCTGAGCAGAGTGGCTGTCTTGTACTCTTAGGACATAAGACGGTTATTGTGCGGTGCCTCAAGACGAAGGCTTGAAACATAAAGTAAATTAAGAGTAAGACGGCCATTCTGCTCAGGCCCTACGTCACTGCAAGACAAAGATGTAAAACAGAACATTGTCTTAAGAGCCTAAGTCGTGAAAGTCTATTGTACACGACTTAAGTTTTTCTCTGCCTTGCCTTACGTCTACGACCAAGACGGTCTCAAGCGTTTACGGATCGTTCTCTGCCATCGGCCTAATACTTCAGTAAAATCCGATCAATGACAAAAAGAAAATATTGCGAGGACCTTCAGCGCGCTATCTTGGGGAAATTTATATATCTCTCTTGCTTTTTGACTCGATGCGCGTCTAATACGGTTATCTCCTCTTGCAGATTCCCATGGAATTGAACCTCGCGTCTTTCGCATCGATCAGAGACTTTGCCAATGAAGTGCTGAAGAAGTTTCCCCAGATTCATGTGCTGATCAACAACGCCGGGGTGTACGCGCCTCTCAAGGAGCACGCGTTGACGGAGGACGGGTTCGAGATCCACTTCGGGGTGAATCACCTGGGCCACTTTCTGCTTACGAATTTACTTCTGGACCGTCTGAAGGAGAACGCTCCCAGCAGGTGATTGCACGACAATACTTGAGCTTGGCGAGACGACGTTAACTCGAAACCATGTCCGTACAGGATAGTTGTGGTGACGTCCAAGCTTCTGGAGTCCGGGGTAATAGATTTCTCGAACTTGAACGGCGAGAAAGGACTGTCGGTGAAGAGCAGGATGAACCCCGGCTACTGTAATTCGAAGCTCGCGAACGCGTACTTCGCCGCCGAGCTCGCGAGACGGACAGAAAATACCGGTATTAACGTTTACATGGTGTGTCCCGGCTTCACCTACACCGGTCTGTTCAGGAACGTGAAGAGAAGCTGGTTTCACTATATCATTTTCTCGCCGGTGGCTCTTATGTTTCTACGCACCTCGAATCAGGTAAATATGCGAATTGCCGTGCATTCCTCTTCGAAACGTCCTTCATCACTGGTAGTTTTTTTAATAAGAAGCAACTCGGTATTCACAGGGCGCGCAAACGGTGCTGCATTGCGCGACGGAATCGTCGTTGTCCGAGGAAAGCGGACGTCTGTATCGCGACTGCAAGCTCTACGTCTCTAAAAAGGACCTGGACCCGGAGGTGGCGCTCCGTCTATGGGAAGTAAGCTCGAAATTGACCGGCGTAAAGGAGACCACGAAGTAAACGACCTTAGGATACTCGCGCATGTTGTACACGTACAATTGACAGTAAAAAATGCCGTTTGGTTCCGGTGTGTTGTGAGGAATCGCACTTGCGTGCCTACCTCCCCTCCGGTGACCGGTTAATTACTGATGGAGAAGAGGCAGCGAGACTCTTGAGGAAGGCAGCCCGGCGCAAATGCGGTTCTACTTATTACCATGCGAATCGGAGAGCGCTTTTGCTCTTCGTCGTCAACATCTCGATTTCACCTTTGTCGTATTCCAAGTGATTATTCAATATTTATTTTTATATATATATATTATATATATATAATATAGCGAATAGGAGCTAGACACTGTCAATGTGGCACACTCTTATTTCCATTTTTATGTATTTCAAGTCTTAACTTAGAACGTACATATATACATGGAAGGGCAATCTAGTACCGTCCATCCCAGACAGCACAAGACACACCTATGCACATTTTAAGAATATTCTTCAAGAATATTCGGAATATTCCATAGGTCATTCTTATATACTTATCTTATGTTCGTGGAACATTCGACTGGCACTACTATCAATCTTTTTCGAATGTGAATAGAGTAATCTATCAATCACAGGTTTCACTGCCTTCTGCATAAGATAAGTGTATTGCACAATAAACAATGTGCAATACATAAACTCGATGAGTATTAACAAATTACTCTGAACGAATGCTCCAAAGACATTCTCAACGAATATTTGAAAAACGTTCTTCTTTGTTACGAATATACGATTTCTAATTGCAATTATATATATATTTATAGAACATTCGATTGGAATATTCTGAAATTAAGAACATTTGCACTCCAGAAGAATATTCATAGAACTATGCGTGCTATCTGGGAGCCTAGTGGCACAGTGCACTGGCTAAACATTAGCCCAATGCAACCGAATATCAAATATTGGGCCAGTGTTTAACCAATGTTTGGTCAATGCACTGTGCTACCACAGTATAACTAGTAGGTCCACTCCGTCGTTTGTTTCGTTTTGCGTCGATTCTACCCGAGTACACGGCGAAATACCACGCGATCGGGACCGCAAAGATCAAAGGGGCCGGCAGAGAATGGACCCGCTAGTTGGTGCTACTAGGGCAGTGAGAAATGATTTGTCGATTCGACATCGTTTCGACATCGAGTGATTTCTCGCTGGGCGATCGTGTGTCCAAGGTCTGTGCGAGAGAGAAATGTAGAGGATCCCATTCGTCTGTAACGCGCATACACTGATATCATCATCGCCATCGTTACCGCTGTGTCGTCGAAAACAAGTTGTTTACAAATTTATTAAAAAACAAATGATAACCCAATAACGGACGGCAACAATGATATCGGTGCATACGTGCCGCGGACGAATGGGGACTCTTTCTCTCTCGCCCAAATGCTGGACGCAGGCTCGTCAGGTATGAAAATATACGCAGTTCATGTATGTATGTTCCAAGAGTCATAACGAATTTTTTATATATGCATACCTATTTTAAGGCAAGGTATATCTTCTATTTCGGTGTGTGTATATTTATATATTAGATAGCCTCAACTTCTGAATTCTACAATCTCTTGCAAGCGCGGCCTTCTGTTCATTTCGCGTTGAACAGTCCGACGTAAGGTATCAACCCTCGCAGTCGAGCGTAGAGAAAGTGTATGTATTTAGAATAAAATTCTATAAACAGAATTTAAACAGTAATAAACTTTCAAGTAAGACCCCTAACTAAAACTAAACAACACGCGAGAAAACGTCAATGTGGGTCCGACTTGTAAATCTTATATTAAAAAATGTGAATTCATATACCGTTTCTTTCCACATTTGTTCTGCGCGCCGATCTCTTTTTTTCGGACAATAACGCAGTTTTCTTACAAGTGGAATTCTTATCGTCAGCAAATTCACATATTCAAATCGATAAACGATTTGTAAAGATAACATCACAGAATTTAAATCCTTCGAGTTTAGACGATTGCGCGCCCGAAACCGATAAACATCGGCAGATGTTGATTCAATTTTATATTCCTCATAAGTTTAATCTGTCATTTGTGCATGCATCTTTTACTTGACAATTTTGGACAAAAGTTAAAACTTTCTTTTGACGAGTTTTGGAACACCTCGACATTATTTCAAATATTTCAATGCTCATTTCTGCGGGTGCAGATTTCATCTGAAATATCTGAATTGAACTCGCCCTTTATCTTTCTCCAGTTCCAAAAGTCAGAAAGAGACAGGAAGCGAACGAAACTGAAGTTAAAATCAATCCACTCCGACAGAAACGGACACGAAACCACTTCCCTGACGCCGAAACTTCTCAAGAAAGGAAAGGAAAAGAAAAAAAAATTCAATTTCCTCGCCGCCGGTCGTGCGTGCCGGTTTTATGCCGACTCCATACGTGCGACGCGCGGCATCCAATGGGCGAGCGCATCTCCCAGGGACTTCAGCCGGCGGCACTGTCGTCCCTAGAATCCGCGCCCTCCTATTGGCCGCCGCGCGCCATTGGCGGCGGGTCGCGCGCAGTGGGAATCCCCCATTAGCCAATCGCCGTCCGTTGCGCTCTGTTGTATTCGAAAAAAAAAGGAGGACCGAGTCGGTTCGGCTGGCCGTTGCTGTCTGTCCGCTTGTCGCGCGATACGCGCTGCTCCTACGCGAGGGGTGTCGTCGAGGACTGACGGACGGGTTCCAGCTGATCGGCGTTTCCGCGCGAGGGACGAGATAAACGTGTTCGCGCAACGGTGCGATGTGATACGTCGGGCACGGTGCGGAGAAGCGCGCGAGCACCCGCGGCGGAGAGCGCAGCTTGTGCGACTCGAGCGTGTCCGTCGGCGCCGAGAGCGGCGGACTGTCCGGACGCGCTTACCCTCGCACGGCGCGGACGTCGCCTGCGCGTGTAACCGTCGTGCGTCGTACGTTCCTCGCCTACCTTCCTCGGTGCGCCGCGAGTCTCGTACGCGCGCGTCGCCCGAGGAGGAGAGGCGGCGCCGGCTGATTCGGCGTTACCTCGCGAGCGCGGCACGTATGCGCCGGGCCTCCGCCTCTCGGCTCCGTCGCGACGGCTAACCTCGCCGAGGGGGTGCGCGCCTTGTGGTCCTCGTCCCCCGACGGATCTGCTGCGAGTCTCTCGGTTTCCGTTCGCGTGTGCCCTCGCCGCTCGAATGCGCGGCATGAGTTCCTCGCGTTAAAGTAGTAGGCCGCAAAAGTAGCGAGAGAAAAATTAGAAAAGTGCGCGCGCGCGCGCGCGCCTGTGTAAGTATACCGTTGTTGTGTAGAGAGGCATGGTGTTGCGCGCTTGCTCTTTAAATAACTGCGGTGTTGTCGGCGATGCTCTTGTTATCGGTGGCACCGAGACACGTCCGTAGCGAACGCTAGACGATCCCCCCCCCCCCCCTCGGGATCCTTTCTGGTTGTTACGTTGTTTAACTTAATCGACGCGTGTTTTGCGAGTGACTTCGTTCCCTCCTCCGTACGTCGGGAGTGCCGTGGGGTCCTCGTCATGATGTACCCTCGTCGCATCGTGCAAGTCATCCGCCGAGAATTGCCGCTGGTAGATATTCAAAGTCACGAGCCTCGCAGGCTCGAGCACGTTGCACGTTGAAGGTGGATAGAATGTCCGTCACGCGCGTCTCATTGGGAGCGCGACGACGTTAACACCGGGTAGTCCCGAGATACGCACCCGCGACTGGGCAGCCCTCGAATCGCCACGTGTGCACTAGCTTTCAACGCGCGGCTGACTGCATCTATTTGCGACGTAGTCACCGAGGAACATTCGGTAGCCTCGCTCGAATCCCGACGATTCCTCTGTACGCATATCTCGGCTTACGCCCCGCAACACGGCTGTATAGTTCGGCTCTGGATGTTTATGTAGTATTGAATAGTACTCGTGAGGAAGAGGAGGTGTCTTGCCGTGCCTTGTGGTACGTTTGATGCGATTGGATCGTCGGGAAAGGGTTGGACCATCGGTACGAATGCGAGGAGTGAGGAAATAAATGCGTACGCACTTGATATCGAAGAGCATAATTTAGCATATAATATCTGTCCTCAGTCGAGAGAAGTAAATGTACGACTTTATGTTCTTCAGTGTTATGTACTCAACGTCTGCTTTTTATTCTTAATCGCGAACGTATGTGCAGGCGTCTCTTAATTCTGCGAAGACCGCTGCAACTAGTACGACGTACAGATAACGTATACATATATTGTATGTATTAGTTTAGCAGGACATATACTTTTACGTGATTAATATTAGACAAACCGTCTCGAAAAATGTATATACATTTGAGAAATAAATCGAAAAGATGAAGCGTAAGACTATCAATATCCTTGACGTGTGTGAGTTTCTTGTTTGCGTAAGGTTGCGACATTTCTTCCCTGCAAATTCATTGCCGTCACACTTGTGTCGTTTTGCTTCTTACGATACAAGTTTGGCGGCAAGAACGACTTCCGTTACGAATGTTGGCCGGTGCGCGAGATGCGACGAGTCGCGTCAAGTCTCTTTTGTCAAGTCGATGGTGAACTCACTATACATGTACGATTGATTTAATAGCGATAGAATGCCACCGAGACGAGCAGAGGAGGTGCCTATGAAGAGAGTGGCGGCTGCGGGTTGCAAGCTACCGACGCAACTGCCAGTGGGTGAGATCTTGACGGACATTACGCAGAATAAATGGAGACTGGGGAACGCCATTGGATACGGTGGCTTCGGGGATATTTATCTCGGTAGATACTTTTCATATTTCTAATCTAGTTTTACCTGTAACTTGGAAGCAGTCCATCGCGTATTTCAAAAACTGTGCACAAATCGTAACGTCGTTTTTCCTTCCGCAGCCTCTAATAACATCACATCGCCTGTTGGCCAAGATGCGAAGTACGTCGTCAAGATTGAACCCCATAACAACGGGCCGTTGTTCGTTGAAATGAATTTTTATATAAGAGCGGCACGCAAGCACATGAGTAAGTAACGTACGCTCGCGTGTAACGGGATTTATATTAAGCTACATTTGTAATTTAGAGATAAATCTTTGTAAGAATATTCTTAAGTGTCGCCAGCAGTAATTAACAACGTCAGCGTTTCCTTGACCGTATATCTGGCAATTTTAGTAATACAGAAAATTTATTGCGAAAAATATTACCTCAGCCAAAATCTTGCCTCGGTGGTCGAATTGGTGAGACGCCCGCCTAGAGTGTAGGGTCCATGTTCAAACCCTGGGTGAGGTAATATTTTTCGCAATAAATTTTCTGTATTATTAAAATTGCCAGATACGGATCGAGAAAACACTGATGTTATAAATCTTTGTGTACGTACTTATACATGGGACGACTGTATTGTTGATATTCTGGTATATTTTGCAGTTAAAAGTTGGTGCGAGTCTCAGGGAAAGAGGAAAATCGGTGTCCCCACGTACGAAGGATCGGGCTCCCATGTTTATGGAGGTCAACGATACAGGTTTCTAGTGATACCGCGATACGGAGTAGATATCGGAAAACTGTTCCTGTCGCATAGGAAGAAATTGCCGACGAGACTTGTTAATACGTTAGCTGTACAGATGGTAAATTTCACGAATTTTGTAATTATACTGAAAACCAAGTTTTCGCTACCCTAGCTAATCGAGGTTTGCTAAAAATATTTTGCTGCCATAACTATACATTTCTAAAGCGCAGCAAACGATTTGCCGTCGCATCTAATGCAATAGGCACAGTAGCAAAATATTTAGCTATCGCAACTAAATATTAGCTGTCCATATTTTACAACTGAAATTTAGTTGCCACATGCAGTTTTTAGCTGCGGCAGCTACGTTTTTCTTTACGGCTTGTAATAACCGATTGAGAGCCTGCGGTTGCTCGACAATTTTATTCCCTCCTCTTTTTTTACAGCTGGATGCGTTGGAGTATATTCACAGTAAAGGATATGCTCATGCGGATATTAAGGGACCAAATATCTTGTTGAACGGGGGCAGAATAGGGAAGGAAAAATCTATGGCGTACTTAGTAGACTACGGTCTGGCATATCGTTTTTGCACAGGCACGGGTGAACATAAGCCATTCGTACATGATGAGAGAAGAGCCCACGAGGGCACTTTAGAATTTACATCGCGGGATGCTCATCATGGAAGTATGTCGATCATTTCAGTAACAAGTATTTTCATATAATTAATTAAGATTTTTTTATATATTAAGATTATGAAAAATATAAAATTTTCTTCCTCAGGAGTTGATAGGAACAATCAAGCTGCGTAATATTAGCAAATATTATTAGCTGAGATTAGCATTATTATATAAATTTAATACAGAACTGTGTTTAACAAACTACACTTTCTCCCCTTCGCTAAATGAGACTTAAATTACTTGACGCTTTAATGGAAATATTTTTTAGCACATTCAAGGAGAGGAGATTTAGAGACTTTAGGATATAATATTATACAGTGGTTGTGTGGAAAGCTACCTTGGGAGGAAGATAGTAATGAAATAGGTTTAGCTATGGATCCCGAAGAGGTTCATCAACAAAAGGAGATTTTGTTGTCAGACTTGCCTTTATTCATGGACAAGTGCTTCCCTCACAAGAAAAAACCACCAGGTTAGTTAAGAAAATATTTAAATAATGAAAGACTTATCTTTTATATAACATGGGTTTATATATTACTTTATATAATATTTTTTTATAGCTGCAATCATGAGATATATGAAGTACATTACCGAGCTAGAATTTGAGACTAAGCCCAACTATTCCTATTTACGGAATTTATTTCTACACAGCAGCCAAGATGGCAGTATTCCTACATGTTTATATAATATGAAAGAGTCCAATGAAAATCTCACGAGCTCTATATTTTTCGAGCGACCATATTTGAGAGAAAGAAAACCTTGCAGGCCTGTAAACGGCGAGGTACAAATTTATTTGAAAAATTTTAAGTACCTGCTAATTCCTAAGCTCACACACACGCACGCACACGCATAAACTGATTATTACTTTAATATTATTTGCTCTAGATACGAATAACACGAAATACACAGCCTAAACATCCAGTTCAGAAAAAGGAGTTTAGTTGGGAAGCAGTGTTAGCATTGCATCCAGACAAACTTGCGAAAATCAGTACTCAACTGCCACCTTCGCCTCTCACACCGCCTCTTACACCACCATCGTCCGAGTCTCCACGGCCACCGTCTCTACCGACGTATGCAATGTTAGAAGTACTTCGTAAGATGAAGGAGAAGCAGTCAGGTTCATTTAGGCATAAAACACCATCAAAATCATTGGAGTAAATATCCAGTTTTGCAGCTCGTTTTTACATTATTTATATCTTTATTATATATTTGATTTTAATGTCTGGCTTTTCGAATCTGCAGTAATGAACTCAAACCAAAATGGATGACGCCCGCAATGGAAGAAGTTGCGCGATTAAGAAAAAAAAATGAGACACCTGTTCCTGTACTCAATTCTAAAAATAGTTTGAGAGTAACACGTTCACGTGTGGCAAAAAGAAAACGTAAGATTGTATCTCATATACATATTTATATATATAAAACACCAAAACATGTAGTGTGATCTATTACTACCGCACCTTTAATCAATATGAGATTTTTTTATAAATAGAGATAAATTAGATAATTTGTTACGAAGCAGGTGTTAAATCAACTTTAATTGTCTTATTGAAGCACCAGCAAATTGAGTGGCCAGTTATTTATACTGTCAGAAGAAATTTACAAGAAGTCATCTTACAGTCATATAAATTAAAACATTAAACTAATTGTAAGTTTGAGAAATATTGTTGACACTTTTTATTTTAAAAAAATTACTTCTATAAATCTGTTAGAGAAGTTTGTTATTAAACATTTATGCGGTAGTGATGATCCACCATATGTATATTTATTGACTTAGGAATGATGTACAGCTGATATATATTTATACGTTGTATAGAATTTGGAGTTCAGGAGCAAGATAAAGAGATTAAGGACGATCCGACTAAGGTTACGCATAAAAGGAGGAAATGCTCATCCTAAAGAAAACTGGGTCCTATTAGTATTATTAAGACTTCTGACAATGATACCATTGGCATTCATTTTAATAGGAAATATGAAATTAAGTATTATTTCACAAAATCTCGTCTATCGATTATAAGTCTGTAAGTATACATCGCGCCAATTTATTTAAGACTGCTTCATTGTATTATTTGCTCTTTGATAATATTATCCGATACACATAGAACTTCTAAACAGTTGTATAGCGAACAAAATGGTAATATTAATGAATAATACTAAGTGACTTCCTGCTCTGAAACTACAGAGACTCAATGGAATTAATACGTTCATATAGAACTGGTCTTATGATTACATGGATGTCGTAATATCTCTGAAAAACATGTCTATTGATTTAATATTGTACAAGTAAACTTTGCAATTTAGTTATTAGATTAAATTTATTGAACGTTAATATTGCGTATGTTGTAGGTGTGAGATTATATCAAAATTAATCAATATTTCTGTTGTGTATTTACAATCTATAATAGATTCGAGATCTGTGATGTGTGCTTGATTGAACCAACAGCATAGTTGTAAATTTCTCTTAATTCTCATCTCTTATTCTTTAAAAAATAAAATACTCAAAACAAAGTATTCACAAAAATAAAGTTACGTAAAGTAACAATAATGATTATTTAAAAAAAGTAATTAATAATTATACATCACAAAATCTTGATTTAAGAATATTCTTGTGCAATATAGTCCATAAAGAAGTGTCAAAGGAAAGAAGTAACGTCCGTGATATTTTTCATAAAATCTTGTTTTCCATAACTACTGTGTCTCCCTATTTAGCTAAAAGATGATTAAAATATTAAGGAATCCTCCATATATGACTTTATCAACATTTCATACGAGATCGGACGGTGTAGGAAGAGTTAGCACAGATTCTTCCCGAATTACGCACGTTGCACGCTTTCCTTTAACATCGACTCTGTAAATACGGCACTTCTTCATTAAATTAATTTGTTTCGCTATTATAATAACGAATATTATAATAACGCTTTTATAATAACGTATTTAAAGGTATATTAATTTCGATGGTATGTATTTGCTGTATATGCAGTGTGTAATTCGTAAATATAAATGATGTATCGTAATGTAATACATATTGAATTTACAACACTTAAGTTATCATGACACTCAAAAGTGGTGCTGATGTTCGAAGAAATATAATAAGATTTACTGCGGTAGAACATTGGTGAAGTATGTGACCGAGATAAGATCATGTTCTTTTATATGCTGTATGAGTGAGAGATTTGATAATTCGGTGGCATACATAACTCTTGAGCTTATGTACCGAAGGTATGCGATTTAGTCAATTTTACTTTCACACTATGCTGTGACTTTGATAGGTTTAGGTATCTCTAATCTCTAAGTTTGGAAAAATAACATTAAGTGATGTTTAACTATTGTTAGCGCTTTTGTTATCGTGATTCGTTTATAGATTTACGTTAATACTTTTTTACGATACATTTGTGATAACTTATTCATAACCATAATTCATTCTTAAGTTAATCTATACATTTATAATATGTACCTGTGTGCCACGAGACCATCATTACTATTCGGAACTAACTGTCATCACGTATCATTCGTATATATATTTTATTTTTGCTTGTAAAAATTTTTGTCATTTTATTTAAGTGTGGAAACGATAAGTACTTTGTATCTCGAAAAATGTCTAATTTCAATTAAAGTACGCGCTAAATGTATTTGAAGGGATAATGACGGAGTCCTTGCGGAACCGTCTATTATCTGTCAATATATTTTATTATACACACACGGCCAAATATATTATTATATAATTTTAAATAAGTTAATAATGCAATAAAACGGACTTCGTAGTAGTAATAATTAAAGTCACGGCGCAATAAAGGCGCATTCTCCTAAGTATTGTTAGAGAAACTACTATTGTTTCGTAAGACGCGATAATTTAAATTGAAACGTGAGAAGTGTAACTACAATCGGAGATGTATCTACTAAATAACAGAGGAAAAAGTGTATGTAATGAACTGTGTATTAGATTATATACTCGCATCGGCATTTTTCTTATAGCGATCTTGTATATGTACGTTGTTTATTATGATGCGAAATATAAAACGAATATGTATGACCGATAGATCGAATGATTCTTTTCCTCTGTATTATTGCATGCAACATTATAAATGCATACAAATTCAAATTCCTACAATGTATTATATCAACAATTAAATTTACATGTATTGATTTTGATTGCAAAATGTATTTTGTGTGTGAATGATTAATTAATCTGATCATTCTTAATCATCATTAATTAAATTTGAACCCCATTTTCTTTTTCATTGCTCTCACATTAAGTAGAAACTAAACAAAATATTACAAGAGTGTAAAGGAAATTATGAATTGACGAGTTGAATTTCTTTTGAAAGTTTTTGCACGTTTATCATATTAATATTGTTTAAAAGTTTGTATTTTTCAGCGTTACGAGATTAAAATAATCAACGTTTGCTGTTAATTTCGAATTATTAAAAATTTATTGACAAATATCCGGGCGAGAGAGATAAGATCGATCTGAAGAGTGCAAAGCCAAGATAATGTTAATTTGAAATAATCGAAGTATAGAGATGAACCGAAATGGAGCTCGGTGCCAGAGTTAACGATAACAAGCATTGATTCTCGAACGCTGCGATCGATTTATCGCCGTAAAGCCGGTCCTCGACAAATCAGAGAGGCAGGTTCGAATTTCTTATTCTTCGGTCTTGATTTCCCAGAAAGCAAAATAATTTTCGTTCGCGGAGGATTGAGGGGCGACTTGTCGACGTTCAGAGAGCATTCTCCATTCATCCCGCCGTCGCGGGATGCAACGGCGAGCGTCGGTCGTCTAATAATAGAACACCGGCGATTCCATGTAGAACGCGTATCGGCGCGCGTGTAGGTGCGTGTATTCCATGCTCCTCCAAAAAATAAACGCAGCCCGGTGCGGGGAGGGGGGGCAGGCAGAGGGGAGATCGTAAGAATGTGTAGCAACGACTTTCACGGCGCCTCCGTTGAGCAATATATATATATATATTCGAGGAGTTCTTTTATTTCGAGAGAGACGTTACGCCGCTCGTTAATATTCCACGCAATGCCAACATCGCCCGGCTCCACTTTCTCATCGAAAAATACCGCGGATGTATCTTCCGAGATACCGCTCTTTCGACAGCCCCGAGAGAGATCCCAGGCAGTTCGTGCCGGCGCAGGCCACTTGATGTCATTTCAAATTAACTTTAAGCACTCGCATGCATATCGATTAAAAGTCGTATAAGAATGTCGGTTGTACTACCCATGTTTTCTGATTTGGTGTATAATTAAAGCGGAAGCCGATTGGAATAAATATCAATGAAAAAAGTTATGTGCAAAAGTCGGCGTTGCATAATCACATATTTCATATATCGCGCCATGGACGTAGGAATACCTGGACGGAGCGAAAATCGGGAATCTCGAAAACTGGCAACGTATCAGGAAATAATGCAACAAACGGCACTGTCTAAAATTCCAAGAATTCTTCACAATCTCTAAGAGTTGGAATTCCGAGAATTTCAAACTTCAAATCGCGAAAATTAAGAATCTCGAAAACTGACAAAATATTAGGAGGACATGATCGGCAAAGAGGTGGCGCACTATTTAAATTTCCAAGAATTGAAATTCCGAAAATTTGAAACTTCAAATCGCAAAAATCTAAAATCTCAGAAATTCACATAGTATCAGGAGAACATGATCAGCAAAGAGTGCAGCTACAAGGAACAGACCTGTAATTAAAACGCAGTGTTCCATCAATTCAATTAAACTTCGCTAGTAATCAAACTGGCCCTACTATCATCCATCGCACACGAATATCTACATCGACACTTCTAAAGGCCTGTGTCCATGATGCTAGAACTTGATCCAAGTTTTAGCATCGTGGACACAGGCCTTTAAAGCTGACTTTTCACGGGCAGCAAGTAGTAGTGGCTCCCCTGTACAAACTATTGCTAAATGTCAGTCACGACAGTCGACCTCTCGGGTAGAGATTTATCTTCAGCGTACAATTGTCAAGACAATATTACTTCGACATTCAGCCCTATCTTGCGTTTCACTCAGTCCCAGTCTACAATAGATGATTTAAGCCTTAAGCTTTAAGAAATTGGCCAATCACGGTCAAGTGTGAGCAGAATGCGCGACTGTGATTAGTCAATTTCTTGAGGCTTAGGGTCATCGCACACAAAATTGCATAGCTGCACGTGCATAGCATGAAAACCGTTTGAACCAATGAACATCGAGCACTGAGTCGCCATATTGATTTACATAACGCGCTCATTGGTCCAGACGGTCTTGTGCTATGCATATGCAACTATGCAATTTTGTGTGCGATGGCCCTTAGGGTTCAAATCTCTATTGTAGACTGGGACTCGTGTAACATTTGTCATCTTTCGCGTGTATACACAGATCGAACGGAGGCCGCATTCTCGGGGAAACGCCGGGTGTTCGAATCGGGATTAGTGTACGCTTGGCAGAATTCTCGGAAACCTCCGTTGGTCCGCACGGGATCGTCACCCTCGGCGATTTTCGCCGGTCGCCGACGCCAGTCGCGGGCTTCGTCCTGTCGCGTGCGACGCGTACGGCGCGCATCATGGTCGGCCTGCCCGCGATCGCTCACCCTCCTCGCCGAGTTTTGGCGCGCCGCGCCGCGTCAGCCGGTGGTGTCAGTCGCGCTCCGTCCGGCGCGCGCGCGTACGCCTCTCGTCCGTCGTCGGTCCGCGATCGTTCACCCTTCCCCGACGGCGATACTTTCGGCGCCGAAGGACCATGTCAGTCGCGATCGGCGCACGCTCGTGGCCGCGTGACCGCGTCGTTCGGCACGGCCTGGCGGGACGTCGCGCGATGTGACGCGCGAGACGGTCGTGTGCGGTGCCGCGTCGCGCGAGTAGCAGCGTGGGTTAAACGTCGACGTCGCGTCGCGTCGCTGCGATGGGCAGCGAGGCGGACGCGGAAGCTGCGAGCGTCCACGCCGTGGACTCCGACGGCTCGGTTAGCTGGGAGGACTTTTTCGGTGAGTGAGCAAGAGAGCAAATTTGCGCATTGCGATGTACGTCAAGTCCCATGTTACGAAACAGGCCTCTAATAGCGGGCGTCGTCTGTTGGTTTCGTCGTCACTTGTTGCCCTCGGAGTGGTCTGTTTATTGCGGAAGGTTCATTGTTAGATCGCTGCGATTAAAGATCCGCGATTGAGTTTGGACGTTGAAAACCCGCCGTTCTCGTATTAGAGGCCCGTCTCACAATAGGGGGACTTTCCTGTATAAATGTTACACGACGCACGTATACGCGTGTGCATCTTTCTTGTTGCATTAATTTATTCATGGAACTACGGCTTCTCGGCTCATTTCGACCGGCGGCCTCGCGCGCGCGTCGCGGCTTCCGTTTGAAATTGGCTGCGAGAGACCGCAACGCGCCGCACTTCACGCCTAGCGCACTTCAACTCGTGGCGCGAACACGCTAGGCCCTGGACGCGGATAAAAGTGCGGGCGCGCGCACTCTCGAAACGAACGACCCGGATTAGCGCGCGTCTCGCGCGCGTTCATTGCGTCTAATGACGCGCATTCGTCCCTCTCTCTCTCTCTCTCGCCGCGTTTTTCGTCCATTCGGCTCCGACGCGAATCGCGCGACGCTCGCGAGACGCCTCGCGACTCCTCCGCGCTTTATTACGTTTCTTACGCCTCGCGCGAACTCGGCGTTCGCATTTAGAGACCGGAAAAGGAGAGAAAAAGGAAAAGGTATAAATAGATGTAGAAAGTACAGGAGAGAAGGCGGACCGTCGTATCGTGGATGTTGAGGCGTCGAAGCGTGCGAAAGGATAGAATCCTGTTTTCCTGCGGAACTGGGGTAACCGTGTATTTTTTTTAGTATGCGGCAAGGAAAAACTGCACGGAGAGAATTTTCTCTTAGAGTTTATCCTGAAAATCGTGCGAGCGCGGCATTTTGAAGGATCTTATGGGAGTTTTTTTGGAAATTTTACCATACATTTCACTGGTAATTGTACTTACAATTAGTATACGTTTTACTGAAATTTCCAAAAACTCGTAAGATTCTTCAAAATGCCAATCTACTAGCAAAATGTATGGTAAAATTTCGAGAAACTCTCATAAGATTCCTCGAAATGCCGCGTTGTCCCACGATTACACAATTTTCAAGATAAAATTTCGCTCGCAAGTGTAGGAAACGTTTATTGCGTGATGTTTTTATCAATTCTACTGTTTGCTATGAATTACTCATTGAGAGAATCCTCGTATCGCGTACATACCTGCATTCTACATATTTTTCCATACATTACGTATTATTTTATTATGCAAATATTGAACAAATTGCAATAATAAGATATATTGTTGCAAGAAATTCCGCAAGAGAACTGCGTTATGTCCGAAAAGAAACCGGCGCGCAGAACAAATGTGGAAAGAAACGGTATATAAATTCACATTTTAAATATAAAAATTACAAGTTGGGCTACCTACATCTTGCCTTGTGGCCCACAATGGCGTTTTCTCGTACGCCGTTTAGTTTTAGTTAGGGGTCTTACTTGAAGTTTATTAAGATATATTATTTTTCGTAGAATTAAATACATATATAATAAAGAAAAAAACTTATCGTGTAACGTAATACAATGTATTTCTAGATGACTCTGAAAAATATTCTTATCGCATAAATTCCTCACGTGCCTCCGCGAAATATGTACCTATTTACGGATTGTAATCTTCAAATCTTTATAAACGCGCGCACACAGACGTACACGCGAATCGCGTTGCAATTAAGAATTCTATCTTTTCTCTCGAGTCTAATCACTTCCTTTACGGTGAATTCGGTATAATTTTCTCCTCGGCGGAGATCTCGATGCCGCGTGCTCTTCCTGCGATGTTTCCAGTGTATTCTTCCATTCTTCCGGATTAATTATCTTACAGCGGCGAAAGGTTGAGGAGAGCGCGCGCGTGGCGCAACGTCTCTCTCTCTCTCTCTTTTCCTCTAATTAGAAAGTCCCTCGCCCGCGGAAAATACGCCATTTCATAATGACAAAAAGCGTAATTGAGACGTTACGCGCGTAGAGGCGACGGGGCTACCGTGAGGTCAAGCAGCGACCAGGATTAATCGGCTGTAATAAATCGGCGCGTGAAGCTCGCCGGAGTCGCGATGCCCTCCCCCCCCC